GGAGGGGAGGGGAGGGGAGGGGAGGGGAGGGGAGGGGAGGACGAACCACAGCCAGACGAGTGATGCTAATAATCATGGGGTGCGGGAGGGGATATTTGCAAACCCCAAGTCAAGGAAACAGCTGCCAACGTCCACGGCCCCGGAAGGGGAAGGGACAGCCTAGGTGCGGCGGAAAAGAGGTACCAGCAGCAGCAACAACAGCAACAACAGCAGCGCAAATCTGTACATGACCGAGAGCAGCCTACTAATACTGCTACTGCTACTATTACTACTACTTCACCTCCCCCCCCAAATGCCATTCACCCCCCGCCCTCACTTGTCCAGACTGGCAATCTCCTCCGTACGGAACAGGGGGTCCCGCACGTGGCGAATGTCGTCCAACGACTTATCCAGTACCTCGTAGTTGTCCGGCAGGCAATACACCTGCGTGCCGTACACAGTGCGACCGTACAATAACAGCAACCGCTCCTCAGCCTGTTGCAAGTCACAGAGCACTGCGCCGGTCGGGGTTGTCCGCCTGCTGCGTGGGGACCTCTCCACGCCTCCACCCTTAACCCCTCACCCCTCCCTCGGTCTCCAATTCTCCCACCGCCTTGCCCACCCCTTCAGGCCCCTGACAGCGGCGCCGCCCTCCCCCGCCCCCTCTTTGCAAGCCCTTCTGGGGTCCTTAGCGCCAGGTGGCCAGGGCACACTGGTAAACCCCTTCGGCGGGCCTTCCTTTCCCGACTTCCTCACCACCACACCTCCCCCTCCCCCCTCCCCCCCCCCTATAACGGCACCCAGTCATCACCCGTACACTGCTCACCTGTCACTCATGCACATTCATCGACCCCCCAGGGGGCCCGGTACCCCCCAGGGCCCGAAGGACACAACCCATAAACAGGTCCCCCCCCTCACAGGCACTGTTCGCCCCCTTCCCCCTTCCCCCCACCTTGCCGTTATCCAGCTTCATGAACATGTGGTGAGCGGACTCCAGCGAGTGCGTGTAGGCGTGGGTGTTCAGACCGCGACCCTGAGTATGGGTACGTATGTATGTATGTACGTATGTATGTGTTTGTAAAGGGAGGGTGCAGCGGACTTGTGAGTCCTGGTCGGGTCGGGTCGAGGGAGAGCGCTGACGGGCGGCCGGCGGGCCGGAGGGGGGAGGGAGGTGCCCGAGCGGTGTCCTTAGGGGCCGCAGCGCGGTGCAGTAGGGTGGCACGTGTGGGGGGAAAGCAGCTGCGGGGGTGGGGAGGGGGGTTAGGGGACCCCGTTGATGGGTGATGGGGCCCCTGAGGTGCAAAATTAACCCCATCTCCCCAATGTAAATCTACCCGTATGGGTACCGACCACAAGGGGGCTCACACGGGTCGAAAGGAGCCCCCTCCCGCGACGGTGAAGGACAGCCAATACCTCCCCTCCCCCATTTTCCCCCCTTTCCCCCACCCGCCGCCCCACCTGGAAGTACTTCCCACACACCAGGCACACGTACACGTTGACCGGACTGAGAGTCACCGAGCAGCACTTCTCAAAATCGAAGTCCAAATTCTGGAATCCGACCGGGGGAGTGGGAGAGGAAGGGGAGTGGGAGTGGGAGGGGGAGGGGAGTGGAAGGGAAAGTGGAAGGCAAGGAATGACAGAGGTCCGGCAGGGACCCCCCACTGTGGCTGGGTAACCGGTGGGGGGGCCCTGGAAGCAGAGCCGGGGGCGATGGACGTGAGGGGTCAAGAAGCCGGGGGGGAAAGGGGGGAGGGGGGAGCAGCCGGTAACGTGACGTGTGTCACGAGGAACAGCAGGCTCGTACACCTGCTACGACAGGTCAGGGCAGGGCAGAGAGGTCGCATGTGCGGATACCCCACCCGCGAGTGTCCCCACCCCAACGCCAGTCCCCTCGCCGACACCCAAATTCCCAAACCACAAGTTTCCGAAACCCGCTTTCCCCACTATCCCGTGGAACGCCGACAGCTCCCAGAGAGCGGCCATGGCGACCCCATCGCCGCTACCACCACCAGCAACAGCACGTCCTCGACCCCGGCCCCGACCCAATGAAATCCCACTGATTTTGATATTACACACACACACACCGCTTTACACACCCCTTCCCCAGTCCTCCAGCCGTGCCCCTCCGACCCACCTGGCGGGAGATGGTGTCCAGGTAGGGGCACTCAGTGCCCTTCTTGACTGCCGCACGACTGGTGCTGCGGGGCAGCAGCACACGGTCATCCGCACCTTCATCGTCATCGTCGTCGTCCTCGTCGTTGCCGCTACTCTTCTGCGGCCCCTCCCCTTCCGCTACCCTGCTCGGATCATTGAACCCCGGATCGGCGCTCGGCTCCCTCGCCTGCGTGGAGGGCTGTGACTGCTGCTGCTGCTGCTCTTGACTGACTTTGGGATTTTCCTGGCTTTGCGTGCCCGGGGCGTCGTCTGAGGCTGCAGCTTCTCCACGTTCTAGGGGTGTTTTGGGCTCCTGTGACGGGGGATCCTGCGGCTCCTGCTTGGAGGAGGTGGCTGGGGCTTCGCCCTCTGGGGTGTCATCTTTCCGAACACGCTTGGCGGAGGATTGGCTGGCGCCGCCGGGTGGGTCAACCGCGGGCTGATCCTGGTTGCCCTCATTGTCATCATCGCCTTTCTCCTCACGTTCCCGTTTGAGGGTCGGCAGCGGCATGCGGGCTGTGCGGTGCGGATGACTTCCGTGACGTCCTTCTGCCGGACGCTAGGTGCACTAAGACTTGAGTCCTTGGTTGGTTTTTAATGATGTGTAAATTTCCGTCTCTGGTTCTCTGGTTGAAAAAAGTAAATTGATACGCGGTGAATATAAGCGTCGATCAATTTAGAAAATTACCAGAACATAACGAGCTATGTAAGCCTTACAACATGTCAAGCAGTAATTATGATAAGCATAAAGAACGCAGGCAGCATTTGAGCCTTAGTTGCAGATAACCGAGATTGGGCTGTCGTTTTCGAGAAGCTCATGCGATATTGCATTTGGACAACGGTCGCAGAGCAATTTTGTTTCACGTACGTATGTGTTTCTTATGCATATTCCACTAGAGACGTGAAACTCTTGTTTACGTTTTAACTTACATTCGGCGCAAACTGCGCAGCCACCACAAATGCGAGGCTGTCAAGCGCCGACGGGGAGCCGCACCGACGCGTTGGCAAAGCAGCCTGCGTTATTTCATGTCCGCTATGGCGCCAGCACGCGTTGGCCGGCACCGACAGCGGGCATCCTCGGCTCCGGATTATTTTTTCCCACGCCGGGTTGCGCTCGGCAACCCCTCCAAAGCGCGACATCCTTCCTTAGAGGTGGCCTTGCACCAATCCAGCTGCAGCCGTGCTTAGCTTCGAATAGCAGCTCTGAACACGGGCCGCTTAGCGCGGAGGAGGAGGAGGCCTATCAGGAGTTCATGCTGCAGCGTAAGGCGGAACGCAAGGCCTGGAAGCTCGAGGTCCGCCGTAGGGCCAAATTTGATCCGATGGCAGCTCCGGGCCCCGGCGCGGAGCCGACGGCCGCGGCCTTGCAGGCTCTCAGTCGGCCCAAGGCGCCGCCGGCGGCGAAGCCAGGTCGCCTTCCGCAGCCAAAAAGCGACGCCGCCGCAGCCTCCGCCTCCGGCCCCGCCAGCAGCAGTGGCGGCTCCCCTAGAATCATCGACCTGGCTGCAGCCCCGCAGAATTCCCGTCGTCACCGACCGCTACAGGGCCGCCGCGTGACGGAGGAGGAGGAAGAGGAGGAGGAGGAGGAAGACGGGGGCCTGGACGTGGGTGGCTTGGCGGCTATGGCGCGCAAGGTGCTGGAGGACGATGATAAAGAAGCGACAGCGACGGCAGTGCCTGTAGCCAGCGGCAGCAGCACGCGCAGGTCGATGCCGACAGCGGCGGCGGCGGCGGCGGCGGCTACCAGGACCCGGCGGCCAGGGGCTACGGCACCTAAGCGGCAGCTCATGCCCATCGCGCAGCTGCAACGGCAACGGGCGGCAGCGGCGGCGGCAGCTGCAAGTCCTCCGACTGTCGAAAGGGACGGTACGACAACGACGACGGAGGGCCAGGATGAGGACGAGCTTGATTGGGAGGCGCTGCAGGTGCTGAATGGAGTGAGGGGGTGAGGGAGGGGGGGCGGGAGTAGTGGCGGGGGATTCGGATGGCATCCTTGGGAAAGTGACTCCACACCCAAGTATTTCAAGAAGGCATTCCCCCACAATTGCTTAGCTGTTGACACGGCGGCGGCTACCTAGCCCCCGAGCGGAAGAGGAGCTCATGGAGTTGTGGTAGGGGAACTCGGGGTGATGCGGCTAATGGCACGAGTAAGGGCATTGGTTTCCTGAGTTATCTGGAAGTGTAGTACTACACTGTGTGGGAGATACGAACAACACCGCATTGCCATCGCCACTCCGCATGTTGTACTAATGCGGAGGTTCAAGACAGGTTCCCTAAGTGTCCGCACCATGCCACCCGCCCGCCCTCAGGCGTACGAAAAGTACGAGCAATACGTCAACGAAGTGGCGGAGGAGGAGGAGCGTGCTGCGGCCAGGCGGGCCGCCTCCGCCGCCGCAACGACATCCACCTCCGCGGCAGCCGCCGCCGCTGGACTCGGGGAGAAGGTCGCCGGCTCCGACGGACCCCGTCGCGCCGCCGCTGCCGCCGCCGCCGCCATCACCTCCACCTCCCCAGACCCCGTCGACAAGCTCGACAGGCAGTTGGATCAGTGGGAGCAGTTGATCAACTTCTTCGAGGTGGTCGAGCGAGACGGCAAAAGAGAGGAGGCGCGCAAGCGGAGGCGCCAAGCACAGGCGGAGGCGGAAGCGGAGGTGCTAGCCCCCACAAAGGGCCCAATGAAGCAGCAGCGCGGCAAGACGACAAACAGTGGCGCCGCCGCCGCTGCCTCCGCCGCTGTAACGGCAGTCGGCGGTGCGGGTTTTGGGGAGTTGTCTAGTCTGTCTGGTTTACGGCATGATGGAGATGGCGTCAGCGATGACGAGGAGGCGCAGGGGGAGGTTGAGGTGGACTGGCAGGTGCGGGTTGGCGTGGGTTGGGAAATCGATTGCACATCATGCAGAACCACTCACACCCTCCCTGATCCATTCAACCCGTACCTCAGCACTGGCGTATCCAGATTCTCACGTCGGGGGTTACCTCACCTCGCAGATTCGCCTCTGTTTCCCCTAGCTCCCCCCGCCTCCTCAAGCTCCAATACCCGGGCCGGCTCTCCTCCCCCCCCTGGGTCGATGTGACTTCACCGCTTAGGACTCACTCACTAGGGGCAATTTCGGACTTTGGACCCCTTTTTTCAGCAGTTCATTTCTGGTTTCCTCCTGCATATGTATGATTTCGCCCTTCCGCTTGCTCCATGGCATCGGGGGTCTGCTGTTCTTTTTCTTTCATCCCCGGGGGCCCCCCCAATCACCACCTGCCGCGGTGTGTTTAACCCTCTGCCAACTTGAAACCATCCCGCCCCACCCCACCCCAACCTGCCCCAACCTGCCCCACCGCTACCTCCCACACAACCCGCACTACCGCTACACCACATCATCCCGGACACAGTCCCTGGAGCGGTTGTTCCTCGGCGAGGGCTGGGAGGCGGAGCTGGCGGAGTTGAAGGCCCGGGTGGAGGCGGGCGAGCAGGTGATTCAGAGGGTCCTTAAGGGAGGGGAGTGGGGGGCGGTAGCAGTGGGGGCGGTGTGTCACGCGCGAGGGGGGGGGTGCTGTCAGAGACCCCTCTCCGCCCATCTACGTTCCTGACACGCGTCCTTTTTCGCGCACCTGTTACCTGATCCCCCCACTCACACACTCACTCACACATTCACTCACCTACCCCGTCACCTACCTGCAGGAGGCGGCTGCAACCCCGGGGGGGAAGGGTCCTTCAGAAGCGGAGGAGGAGGTGGAGTCCTGGCGGGATGAGGTAGGGCGACATGTCGGTAGGGGCACCGGCGGCTGCCTGCCGCGCGCGTCGCTCAGGGTGCACCGGCGACTGCTCCCACAGGGCTCCCCCTCGGCACGCACTGGCAGCCCGCCCGAATAGGCACTGTTTGCGCTTTTGTCGTGGTGGTACTCCCGCCCCTCTCTGACTTAGCGTCGTGCACTTGGTGGGCTCTGGGGGGAGGTCCTGCGCGGGTCAAGGTCCTGGGCCAGCGGGGTTACCCCTCGATCGGCCCCCTCTTCCTCCTCTTCCTCCCCTTCCCAACCCGTCAGGTGAGCACTCTGCTGCTGGGGCTGGTGGAGATCAGCGCCAAGAGGTACCTGGGAACGTCCCTACTTGCACAACAACAGCAGCAACAGCAGCAACAGCAGCAACAGCAACCTCTGGCAGCTGCGGCGGGTGAGGCCGTTGCAGTGCCGGCTCCACCGGCATCGGCCGTGTCTCCCGTGGGTGAGGAGGAGCGCGCAGCGGCGTTCTGGGAGGCCCCGTTCCTGCTGCTGGTGCAGGTGAGGACATGGAAGGGGTATGAAAACGGGGAAGGAATGGCTGCATCTGTGGCGGGCTTTGTGTTTGAGCAAGAGGGGAACGGCGGGGAGGGCGAACCACCTAGGAGCCTCTTCGATGAGTACGGCAGCGGCCTTTGTTTGGTTATATGGAAGAGGAGGTAGTCCCTCGGCGCCGTGCCTGCCTTGCCCTGCCCTCCCAGGCGAGATCACGTAATAGCAGCTCGCGACCCCTGGAGTCTCTTGCCACTTCCCGCCGCCCTAACCAGTCTACTCCCAAACCCCGCACTACACCCCGCACTACACCCCCCATTTCATGATTCATGATCCCAGCCATGTTTCGGCTGTACACCCCGGCTGATGCCCACTGGGTATATGCCCACTATCCCTCTGAACTCCGGCAGTTGGTGCTTTGACTTTTCATGCATCATCATCATCATCATCATTATTATCGTCATCGTTATCATTATCATTGTAGTAGCTGGTGCATAGTAGTAGGCACACATATCGTGTACAGCTACGCGCTAAGGCGCTCCACCAGTATCTTGAGAGGCCGTCTCAGCGGTCAGCTACAACGATCATCCTCATCATCCTCATCATCGTTATCATGTGATTCCCCCGGGCTCCCACTCCGCACTCCCCGCTCCCCCACCTGCCTCTCAGGACGACTCGGGTGACCCCCTGGTGGAGTACGTCAACCGCTCCGCCCTGTCGGCCCTGGGCATGGACAGCTTCGACGAGGCCACCGCGGGACTCAGCGCCGCCAGTCTGGTGGACCCCACCCACCCGCGCTCGCAACAGGAGTGGCTGTGGGCGACAACGGAGGCCGCGGAGCGGTCGGAGAGGTGCGAAGAGCGGGCTAACGGGCTGGCCCGTGGATGAAGGGGGCTCTGCTGTGGAGAGGGGGCTTGGGGAGTACGACAGGGCCTCGTAGTTTTAAAATCCGAGTAACAGTCACTATGCGGTTTATACCCTAGGCAGGCTACGGCTGATTTCTACTGATCTCTACTGATCTCTATGTTCAAATCCAGCGGCCACTGGTCTATTTTGGTCGTTCCCCTTTGGGTTACAGAGATTGGGGGCGGGGCCCAGATCCCCGTCTGTAGTGGTGCGGCTTCCGTCGCATGTGACGCACCCCGGTATTGCCCCACTCATTCCGCCTTTCCACCGCTTCCTGGTGTGTGTGGGGGGGGGCGGGGCGGATGGATGAGTGGGTGGGTGGGTTCTTTGACAGCTGCCTGGCCTCTTTGGAGGCGTTGAACCCCTGGTTGCCTGGTGGTGCGGCTCGGCGTGTGCATCTGCGTGTGTGTTTTGTTGCACGCAGGTACGCCACCATTCCCTCCCTCCGCCTGCGGGGCCCGGGACCCGGTGCCCCCTCCGTGCTGTGCTCCGACGTCACTGTGTTCCGCGTGGACTCTCTGGAGGAGCAGGCCATCGGTCAGGCAGTGGTGGCCCGGAGCTGGAGGCAGATGATGCCGGGGGAGGGAGAGGGAGAGGGGGAGGGGGAGGGGAGCCGGCGGGTATGAGGTGCCGGGGGTCGGTGGCGGCCGGTGATTGCATGGGTGGTTGATAATGTTGTACGAGGTCGGTGATATCTGATTTGAGCGTGTGGTATGGCGGTTGGAGTGAAGAGGGGGAAAGAAATAAAGGTGGGCGTGAGGGTGGGTGCGCTTGTTTCTTCTTGAGGCTGGAGGTGGTGTGCGTTATGCGGTGCCGTGTCCTCGCGCGGAGGTGGGGAATAGGCAGGAGGGGATGAGGAGGAGGCGGGAGTACCATGCGATTCCCTGACGGGGCTCTTGCGGTTGTTGCTGTTAAGCATGTCAGCTAAGGTCGGGCTGGACATCACGTGCTTGTTAGGAAGGATTCAATTCCACCTTTTTCGCTTCATCCGCTGGTACTTGTAACCCAATCGCTATGACCTTGCGAGATGATGGTGGCATCTGTTGAACCCCCCTCCGGAAGATATCACTCGCGGTTAACCCAGCTTCGCGTTTTCCAACCTTGCGGGTTGTCAAGTCGAGCCCTACAGGGAGCATTGTTACACTTATACAGATGTGCGTTCTCTAATACGAGCAACACAATCGTAACAAAGACAAATCGCCCGGCATGCAAGCGTAACTTCTCGCCTGCTCAACATACATAACAGTCAGCGGCAGCGCCTATTTCACATGCAAAAAAAATCCCGGCTCCTTCTCAAGCTGCCGCCACTCACTCCGGGCCCCAAAACACGCGGGGATTACTTACAATGCCGCTTATGGTCGCAATGGACCGCCGAAAAGTTGGGTGGTGGCGTCACATATACCGGATACATGCTGGCCAAATAAACGGTCCAGAGAGCCGATTTAAGCTGGGCCTGTGTGTCAGTGCCGCAGCCCGGTTTCGGTTCCTCCGAAAATCTACTTCTAGATGAAGGGTGGCGGGGTAGGAGGCCCATGATGATAGAAAGTATGAAGGTCGCAGGAGACGGACTTCGCCAAGGGTACATGCGCATGTCGGGGGCCAAACTCCAACCATGATGCGCGAGGGGGAAATAAACCGACCGCTGCATTCTCCGGGACTCACGTTGCTTTTGCCCTCCGGTGCCCTCCGGTGCTTTCACCCATCCCCTGCAATACTGTTGAACTACAAAAAAGCCACCACACCTAGGCCGAGGACGACCTGTATTCCTCCGTGCATTTCCTAGCCACCAAAGCTCAGACGACCTTCCTGAAGGGCGACTCCCGTCAAGACCGGCCCTTGCCCCGCCACAGCCACGAAAAATAATACCTTCCGCCCCATCCTCCCCTCTCGACGCGATGCCGGTTAATTTGGTTTGCCGAGAGCGAGGGCGACATTTGGCCCTAGGGTTTCGGCTAACAATGGACAACTAGACAGGCAAATCTCAAGGAGTGTCTTCGTCAACCCTTTGCTTGCTCTGGGCTTACTTGCTAACACTCCAACATGACATGACAAGTATTCCTTCCGGAAACACACAAATGTAATTATCAGTTGAGTTACTCCTCGCAATTGCGCGACTTGAGGTGCCGTGCCTCGCAAGCCCGGCGAGTGGAAAACAAATGCCATGCCCCGTAGCAGGACGTTTCGCCAATCAAGAGCGGGCAGCATGTAAAGGTACAACCTGCATAGCTTTCATACCCATCTGATTGGTCAAATAGGCGCGTGTGTGGATCCAACGCGGACCTTCTACAAATGGACTACAGGCCCGCAGTCTGCAGGCGGCACTTCGGTCCTGCACGGCCATTCCCACCCACGCACGCATCACGATAGGTGACGCATACCCACATCCGCGTACCCGCACGCGGGCAAGGAAGTGAGGGCCGACAGACGGCAGAGTGCCAACATATCCGCCTGGTGCAAGTACTTTTGGCATGCTGCATTTGCATACAAGATCACAGGATGGTGGGAGCGCTGGAGGCACGCAACGGAAAATGTACAACTTCTCACTTAGTAGTTGTTAAGCAGCCTTGGTTTAGGGAGCCTCATACCACGCAGCTGTTTAGCACGGGAAAAAGCCAGAGCGAAACCTGCCTATGGTGTCCAGCGCGCCACGGCTGCGTTCCTACCTCCCCCTATCTCTGCCTGCGGTACTTGCATGTCTCCAAAGCCATGTAGTCACACCGCCATACCACCGCAGCACTGCCTCGCAGCAGCGCAGGCAGGTTCATGCGCCGATGCATGCGGCGCGAAAACAACGAATACAATGAATGTTCCTTGCAGGGCCTCTAGCTCTTCCCTTTCCCCAATCACCAAGCACAGATTGCAGTTTCAAATCTGAAGGGCGCAGAAAAAACATTGTCCAAGCAACACCCCTCCGGAACACACTCCTCTCATCCCCCTGCATCTCAATCAACAAAAAGTCCAACCTGATCTTCGCAAACCCAGCCTGCTGTACGTGAACTCACTCTCATCCTAAGCAGACCCTGTCTACATCTCTCCCTCTCCCTTCACATTACTGGTCGTTCGTCTCCGCGCCAATCTGCCGAGCAAACTTGATGAACACCTCCTCCAGCGTCGCATTGGCCACGCCCCAATCCAGAACCTGCATCTGCGTCTTGGCCGTCGCCATGGCGTCGAAAACAGCGGACAGACTCACATCTGCGGTGGGCAGCTCGTACTTGAACGTACCTCCCAGCGCGTACGTTAGCCGGGAGTTGGGACTCATGTGCGCCACGAAGGCCTTGGCCGCGTCCTCGTGGCCAGGGCCCACCGTGATGGTGAACACCAGGTAGCCCGCGTAGCGCGATGTGATCTCTCGAGGATTGCCGATGCACACCAGCTGGCCGTCCACGAAGATGCCGAGCCGGTCGCACAGAATTTCCGCTTCTTCCATCGAATGGGTGGTGAGGATGATGGCGCGGCCGTCCTTGTTGGCGCGTACTACGTCCCACAGGTTGCGGCGGGAAGCGGGGTCCAGACCGGTGGAAGGCTCATCCTGCAAGGGAGGAACGGAAGGGATAAAAGCGGTGGGATTAAGAACGGATTTCCGAAGACCGAATCACATATAACGCAAAACATTGGTAATATACTACTGGTAATAAAACTTATCAATCATACGCTAGCCATAACACAATTTGAGTTATAGGAAATGGTTTTAGGAAATGAATGACAAGCGAGGGTGAAAAAGGCGATGGGATGGGGATCAAGAACGAAAGGCCGCAACACTGGGGGAGATATATCGATGCGGCCGCAAGTGGAGGAAGCGGGCAGCCGGAAGGGCAACATAACGCACCAGGTACACGACTTGCGGGTTGCCAATGAAGCTGATGGCCACGCTCAACCGCCGCTTCATGCCGCCGCTGTACTTCCTCGCCTGCTTCTGACCCACACCGCCGTTGAACAAGTTGACCGACTTGAGCGCCACCGTCACGGCGTTGGACAGCTCCGCACCTGAGCACGTGTCCAAACAGGTTGGCGAAAGGACCGGAAGACCGCCCACGAGGATTTCAGCGAAGCGGGGCGGGTGAGGTGAGGTGAGGTGAGGTGACCAGAAAGCAACTATACGGGACGCTATCCGCATCAAGATCCTTTAACCAATAATAACCCCAAAGGGACGTCAGCTGAACGACGCGCAGGGGTGAGGGGTCAACTACTGCCAATGCAAGCAAAAAGGTGTACGCGATATCGCATATAAGCCAAGAACGGAGCAGCGGACTAGTATACACGCATGCACGCACGCCTACTCAGGCCCGCACCCTTTAAGCCCTTGAGGCGGCCGTAGAACAGCAAGTGTTCTTCGGCTGTCAGCTGCTCCCACAGCAAGTCGTGTTGCGGGCACACCCCCATCAGACTGTAGATCTTGGGCATCTGCGGAGGGAGCCCCCAGACGCCAGGTGAGCGGGAACCAGCACCACCACACATCGCAAAGGTAAGGTCATCCAAGTGAAGTCAGAATAACGTTGTGTAGCGCACGCGCGGTAAGACCGGTTAACAATTACTAGAGGGCAGATTCATGACCCTTGACTCGACCGCACCAAGCTTCAGGCCGGGCCACGGCTGCGGCATGAAGCGCCATTTTTGGCACCAGCTTTCCGTCACGCTCTTAACCTGAGCTGGCAGGCGCCTCAGCCCCGCCGGGCCCCCCACGTCTTGTTGCCTGTTCGCACCCGGGCCCCCCACGTCTTGTTGCCTGTTCGCACCCGGGCCCCCCACGTCTTGTTGCCTGTTCGCACCCGGGCCCCCCACGTCTTGTTGCCTGTTCGCACCCGGGGCCCCGAGCCTGAGTCGCCTGAGTGTTTGCGTCCCTCGAAGGCCCAGCGTCCCTCCCCCTCTTGCATTTTAACATCCTCCTGCTACAGCCCCTCCCCCTCCTCCCCCTCCTCCTCCTCCCCCTCCCCCTCCTCGTCCCCCTCCTCCCCCTCCTCCCCCCCACCCCACCCCCTCCTCCTCCTCCTCCTCCCCCTCCTCCCCCTCCTCCCCACCCCACCGCCTCCCTCACTACCCCTGCACCCACCTGTGAGGTGATGTCCAGTCCCTCGATGAGCGCTGAGCCACTGGAGGGCTCCAGGAAGCCAGTCAGCATGTTGATGGAGGTGGACTTGCCTGGCGACAGAAGGAGGGGGCATGTAGGGAAGTAGGGGGGGTTCAGGAGAGAACATTAACGAGGGAGATGAGGTCCGGAAGCCGCTGCCTGCGGTAATAGCAGCAGCAGGAGCAGCAGCAGCAACAACAGTAACAGCAGCAGTAACAGCAGCAGCAGGAGTAGCGGCAACACGCACCTGCTCCGTTCGGGCCCAACAGTCCAAAGCACTCCCCCCGCTCGATGGCCATCGTCAATGTGCGCACCGCCACCTGCGAAATGCCCCACGGGTTGCATGAGCTTGTCAGTGTATCGACATACATACAGAGGCAGGCGGCTGGCAGGCGGCTGGCAGAGGTTAAGGCCTGACTTCTGCACCTGGCCGACCCGGGTTCAAATCCGCCTGCCGGCTCCTCGGGTGTTTGAGGAGTGATGAAATGGGAGGTGGCCCCCCATCATATGGACGGTGTAGGACGTGATAATATCAACTTGCGAGCTGACCAGGAACTAAGTTGATGCGCCGTTGATCCGCTAGATTTGGTTGGATGCTGGTGGTGAGTTGCCGAACCCAACGAATACATTCTGAAGTCGGATGGGGTGACGGATTAGGGTGCCCCTCTAGCAGGGGAGAGCAGGGACTGCCCCGGGAAAGGGGGCCGCTGGCGAAGTTAACCACCCTGTAACAACATACATACAGAGGGCCCGAAGCGCGCCTAAACAGCCCTGAGGAAGAAAAAGCCGCCAAGCTTGTTCGGTTGAGACTTGCGCGGCATTAGGGCGCCATATGGTCTATAGTGTGGTTGGGGCCGTGAATGGCCCGCGGCAAAGCAGGGTTGGCTTTTGCAATTTTGTTTGGTAGTGCTTCAGCATCTCCAAAACGTTCTGAAGAATGCTTGGCAAGCTGGGCGTCTCCCGCACGAGAATGGCAGATGTGCAGATGATCTATGCCAGAAGTGTATGCCGGAAGTGTCAATCAGCACCCGTAATAGCATTCTTGTGGAAACGTTGTACTGCAAAGACCCCTTCCCTCTGCATCTTCCCGCCATCTGAACTCTCATCTGACCGCTAAGGCACCGCTGGAGTGAAGGGGGCGTGCAGGCCGATGGCCACAGAGATTTGTGTATGTGTGTGTGTGTGTGCCAGACAGCCACCGCCGGCTCAGACCAATCCGACCCCTCCAACTCCCCCGCCTCCCAAGCCCCTCCAACCCGGCCCCGACTCCCCACCCCTGTACTCACCTTGGGCTTTCCACCATCAAGCGGTGGGTACACCTTCCGCAGGTTCCGCACCACAATCGGCTTGGCCGCCGCCTCTTCCTCCGTCAGCATCTCGACCCTCATCCTCTCTGCCCGCACGTCCTCGCGCTCGCCGGGGGTCAGACGCAGGGAGTCGCTGCCGCCGCCGCCGCCTGCACCGCCATTGGCCGCCCCCTTGCCGCCACCACTTCCCAGCTCAATCGACGCGCGTGGAGTACCCACATCCCCCGCATTGGGCACATGACCATGGGCCTTCCTCCGCGGCATGCAGCACTTTAGGAAGTACAGGGGGTGGCGGCGGATGCCGGTGCCGCTGGAGAGCACCTGCTCCAGGTACCAGCCCAGCACCATGAAGATGGCCCACTCCACCACGAAGATGCCCCAGGTGGCCCGCATGCCGCAGCCCTCGTCACTCAGACGGGCAAAGTCCAGACCGCGGGAGCCCTGGTACACGCCCAGGAAGGCATACTGCGACATCTCCCACAGGCCCCTGCGTGCGCGCGCGTGTGTTTGTGTGTATGTTTGTGTGTATGTGTGTGTGTGTGAGAAAGAACAAGGGCCCAGTTGTGTTGGGATGAGTTGATGAAGCCAATGTAGAGGGCTTGGGTGGGAGGTTAGGCAGGTAGGCTAGGAGTAGTAGCCATACCCATGGTGACATGGTTGCGGAGAGCGAGGCCGCAAGAGGAGAGGGTCTGGGAGTACAAATGGGAAGGAAGGGCGCGGGAGGAGAGTTGATGGAAACTGCCAAGCAATTCCGGCACCATATTTTAGACGGCTGCTGCTTACGCCTCTTATTCCTCCTCTTCTGCCTCCCCTTTTTCTCCTCACCGATAGAGCGCGAATGCGGGAACCCACTCCACAAAGAACATCCAGCTCTCGTTGTCCTCCATGAAGGTCTGCAGACCGGCACACAGACCGGCACACAGACCGGCACACAGGAAGGCAGACCGGCACACAGACCGGCGCACAGACCGGCACACAGGAAGGCAGGCAGGAAGGAAGGAAGGCGCGAGTGAAGAAAACGAAGTACAATAAATGAAAGGTAGGGGACACGGGAACAGGAAATAAGGACGAAGAAATGGAGAAGATCAATCTGTCGTACGCACGACAACTTCCTCCCGACGCCCAACCCTTCCCAACCAACCCCACACACATAACACACGCACACACACGCATGCCCCCGAACCTTAAAAAGCAGCTCCCCAAGGAGTCCGGTGGCGAAGACGTACAGGAAGGCCACCACCGTAGACGTACGATAGGAGGAGAACAGCGAGGACAGCATGAAGGCCATGGCGATCATGTTGTTGCCGAACAAAAAGTAAAAAATGATCTGCACACCTGTGGGAGCCCGTGCGTGCACACACACACACACACGCACACACGTGGAAAAGGGAACGTGAAGAAAGGGTTTTACGCCAAACCACTACCAGTGGTAATGAACGAGACGAGGTCTGAAGCAACGGGGACTTAACCTTGGAACGCGCGCACAAGAGGGGGGGGCCTGCCCCGGTCAGTTGCCGCTTCCCACGGGAAAGGGCCTCAATAAACCCACTAAGCTTCCTCGCTAAGAGTAAAGAGCGGCGACGGGTGACGGGCGCGAGAGAGTTACGCTGCCTTGTTTGCATAAATGTCCACAGATGCCTAGGTACGTGAATGAATGCGTGCGTGTATGCGAATAATAACCACTAACCACCATCGCCCCATTCCTTCCTCAACTCCCCCTTCCCTCGTCCCCGTCCGCCTTTTCCACCCACTCACCCGTTACCACCCACCCACCCACCCAGCCGCCCGCCCACTCACCCATGTTGCTCCGACGGAAGACCTCAAGACCGACCCCTGCTCCGAAAACGATGAAGATGATCATGTAAACAATGTACAACATCAGGTACCACAGGTACGTCACCAGCCAGTACGCGCCATCACCCAGGCCGTGCATCTTCATCATCATGCGCAGCCGTTTCTCCTTCTCGTACACCAGCAGCTGCAGAAAGGTAGGCAGCAGCATCTGTACGACCCATCTGGGTGTTGCGAAGGGGTCGAGGGGCGGCAGGGATGGCAGCAAGAAGCGGGGCAGGACAGCAGGCTGGTTTAGGTGGACTCATTTGGGCTTGGGAAACGTCAGGTTGGCTTTCCAAGGTTCGCGTGAGATCATACACGAATGGCGGGCAGCCGGGGTGGCACACACACACATTCACATACATACACATACATACACACACAGATACATACATACATACATACACATACATACACACACATTCACATACATTCACATACATACACACACATACACACACATACACACACACAGATTCCCCAAGTACTGTCCACACGCACGCACGCTGCCCAAGGGACTTGATGGACTCTCGTCGACGGTGAAGGACATACGCCTAGGGCACTCAGACTACCAGTTCCTGGCCCTCCTGTCAGGCGCGTGCCATCTCCTCCTCACGTGTAAAAAAGAGGCCCAAGAAGAGAGGACAGATCCAGCTGAAGCTTGGAAGATTGTTTCGGCATCGCCATGTTGCCCAGCAGCCGCGCGGCGTTCGCCAGCGTCGTGTTGCCGCCCAGGGCGTTTTTCAACCTGCGGAGGTGCCCCGAGGACGGCAGGAGCAGGTTTTTACGGGCAGAGCAGGTGGGCGAGGTGCGGGGGAACCACATGATGATGGTGCACGGATCGTGACGGAGGGCCAACTGCGGCGGGTCAACTGCATCCAAAGCAGCCACTGCTGACAGTCATGGAGAGAGAAGGTGCAGGGTTGCGGCAGCAGATGCCACACAGGCTTCGCATCGGCTCTGCAGGCAAAGGAAGAAGAACTTTGCGCGGGACCTCGCCATTTGCAACGACCTCGACCCAGCCCCGCGCGCCCTGACTGGGCCCTGGGCTTCGTGCATCGTGAATGCTTCACATGAGGGCAGTATGAGGGCAGTATGAGGGCCGTATGATAGGGCACTGTGATAGGGCAGCACAAACGCACAGCGTGGGTCTGCCGCAACAGGTCTGCCGCGAGCTCCTCCCGGCCCAGCCCAGCCCGGCCCGGCACCAACCATCCTTTTCCATCTCACCAGGAGAACATAGCCCCCGACAGCTCCGAGGCAAGGCGCAGGTACTCCGGCGGCCTGCCGTTTTGGTCGGTCCCAGTGCCGTTGTAATACAGGCCGAACGACACGGAAGTGCTTGTTGCGTTGTAGAACTCGTAAGACACGGGATACTCGTTGGTGACAGAGGTACCGTTACAGCCAGCCTGGAAGCAGACCCGGGTGGAGATATGCAGGGAGGTCAGTGAACGACTCTCAAGAAAGCAAACCAGTGCCAGTGCCAATGCCGGTGCAGCGCAAGGGGTTCTTCGCCGCGTTGCGCATGGGGGTTCTTAGCTCTCTGGCCTTCAAGGCCTCCAGGTTCCAAAACTCTGGATGCCATATCCAGACCCAGTGCCAATGCCTGGCGTTATGCCGCAGGGAGCACTCAGAGGAAACAGAGGAAAAACCGTTTTTCTTCCTCTACACCGTACTGGAGCAACCGAAGTCGCAGCCTCCCACCCCGCGGGATCCACAATACACGCACAGCCGCCGCATCGCCCTCAGCACCACGACCCAACCAACCAAAACACACAACGACACACACACACACACACACACACACGCAACCTCAAATCTCAAGTGACCCACCACGAGTCCGTCAGTTTCCTTACCTGCCAAAAGCCACAATACACTGTTCTGTCCATCGCAGAGACGCTTGGCTGATCTGACACGATGACGTTCAGACAGGACACAGGTGTGTTGAGGAGGTTCAACGCAAGAGGGGATCGCAGTGTCGCAGCAAGCACCTGCGGGGGCCCGGGGACACACGGCGGAGGAGGCGGGGCAGGGTGGGTGCACAGAGGGCTTCAGAAGGAAGGGCCCACCCGGGGCACCCAGGGAGACACCACCTGGGTGGTGGAAAATGAAAGCCTCGCCGCGTCTCCTCACCTTCCCGCCTGCACCCTGGACAGCAGCTTTCATGTTTCATTTAAAGTCCGCCGCAGATCCCACCTGGTCTTTATTGATGATAGTTTTGCTCGTGGAGTTGACCATTGCCACAAGAAATTCGATGAGAGGCACGGACGCGATCTTCGGGTTCACAGAATCTGAAGGGAATGGAGGCAAAGAGCATGGAGACGGGACGGCGAGCGGGATGCGACAGGCGGGAAAGGGGACAGGCGTTGTAGGCGGGGGACGCGTTCGAGGGCAAGTTATGAGGAAATAGCATTGTGGCATGTGGACAGATTTGAGGTGGAAAATCCCAAAACCTGGGACGTACGAGGTAAGATCGCTGACAGCGATCAGCCCCTCGCACGTGACGCCGGAGACGCAGCAAGAATACACATGGAAAGGGAACAGCGTAAGCAAGGGCCACCTGGTCATCCAGTCATGTACAAATTTCCCGTTACCTTCATTTCCCGTTTCAGCATTGCCTAAATAGTTGTAGCAGCTGGGGCAACACCAGGAAATTAGAAAGCACCTCAGAGCACCGGACACCACAGACACGACCCCCATGCAGCCGCTGCTGTCAGTCTAACGCGCCGCCAAAGCTGGCATGCCAGCTCCTCACGTCCCAACAGTGCGCGAAAGCCTGCCCGCAAACACACGTATGCATGCAGACCATGCAGACCATGTACACGTACATCTACATGCACACACATAAGCCCCTTAGGCATCCTTCATCCCCGGCTCCTCCTACTCACTCAAGTTAGCTGATGCATTTACGCCCTCCAACGGCGGGAACACTGAGGACAGGGAGGAGCAGTTGAAGCTGGTCGAGTACGGAATCAGCAGGTAGAGGGTGTTCCCCAGGAAGGCTGTGTCCATATATAACGAGGCAACGGGATCCACGGAGGTGCCAAACGTGAGGCCGTACTTGGCAAGGAGGTGGGCATTCACGGCGCTGTTGTTGAAGACGAGCTCTGATAGGAGAGAGAACAGGGCCGTGCTGTCCAGGGAGGGCAGCGCGGAGTACATGTACGGACCCAGCTGAGATGCGGTGAAGGACGGCGGCTCAGGGGCGGTGATGAGCGTCGTCAGGGCGGGCTTGTTCGGCGCCGCGCGATACCGTGGTTTTGGAAGCTGCGGAAGCAGCAACAGGGGAGTGCACAACAGGACCCACTGGGTGGAAAGCGGCACCAACCAGCAGAGGCTTTTCGTGTGGTGAGGTCCAGGGACCCCACACTATCAAAATGTGGCGACTATAAATAGTCCTGTGTTGTAATAGCTTTAGCAGCTCCCCCTGGCCCGGGGCGCACAGCGCGGGATGCGCCTCTAGGAAAGCAGTGTGCAAGAACGTGCTGTCAAGAGCGCACAGAGCTCCCGCATGATCTCGCAACCACCGAGGTCACACACAACACATGGATTGAAGGCCCACAATAAATGCAAAGCAAGCAGCAAAGCAAGCAAGCGAACGAGCGAGAGAATCAAGACGCACCGTGACCGTAGGAGCCCAGGCGCTCGGGTTGCGGACCTCGCACCACTGCGACTGCTCCATATTGCTGTACTGTACACCGCAATTGTCAGTGTCGTACTCCCGGCATTCATAGCCGCTCGCATCGCCATTTCTGCAGAACGGGTCGTTTATGCAGTTGCTCGTACCGCGCTCGCAGCACTTGACGCACATGCAGCCGCACTGCAGAGGGTAAGAGGGCCACCGCCGCCGGCGATGGTGGTGAGGGGTGGCCTCGTCATCTAATTAGGGAATGGCGGCAATCGGCGTTGTATTGGAAGCTTGGATACGGCCTTTTATGGCGACAAGACAACACCTGTACCACCCTGTAACAACATCAACACCCACGAATTCCTATTTCAAATGCCTACTGCATGTGCATTCATGATGTTTACTTAAAAGCAGCAGGATAGTGTAAGGGCCATGTGACTGCGTGCGTTTGTCTTACAAGCAGCAGCAGCAGCAGCAGCAACAACAACAACAGCTGGCCCTGAAGTTCTCTACCTTTTGTCCTGCCATGCCCAGAAGGCCCTCCTGCACAACCTAGAGGAGCCGGGCTGTCGTCCTTCACAACAGGGGGCTCTATGCACCTAAATATCCCCTACAACATCCCCTACACAAGCCCGGTTACCAGCAGACTCTGAGTTGAGGGTGCGCCAACCACAAATCCACACCACCCCTGCAGTACGGTCTAGTCACCCAAGAAGCTTTGGGAACCTTCCAGAATGAGTTCAAGGCGCCCAACAGGACTTGTCATGCCGTACACGAGCGGCGCCAGGAAATCCTTTGGGACTACATGCTGCCCTACGCACCTTGAGGTCAGGTTGCATGAGGAGCAATCGGTCGACCAAAATTTTTATAATCAGCAAGATAATGCAGAAGAAGATGGGTGAGGATATCAGGCAGATGTTGGTGCACACATTGCGCTTTTGGTAGACCGCGGATTTTCGCAACAGCGCGTTCGCTTGAGTCCCGAAGCCGGCAGCCTGTGCAGCATGGATTGTTTACGAGGGAATAGGCGAGTACACGACGACACTACTTAGTCGAAATGTGGGATATGGAATCCAGACGGCGATGCATGCGCCGCCACAAACGCGCAAAGGTGGAACTTCGCCGGAATCGCCGAGCGGGATGGGTGGGGGCAGGCGGGAGAAGCACTATTGGTGTTAGAGGAAGCGGATCCATTGCACACTGGATTAATGGTGCATGGGCTTGTTCTTTCCCATATCCCGACCCAATTCTCTTTAGTCCCAAAGCCCATATCAGTAAGAAGAGGGAGGCTCTTGCTGCATAGCAGTAACTACTCCCAGCTTTCAGTGTGACACATATGCTTCCAGTGGCCATTTTCCAATGATTTGCATAGTATTTAAAGCACTAGGAAAGTGAAGTCGACAACCCGGAGACCGCCCAGGCCGTCGAGTGAATAGCCATTCGCATAAGAGGATTGGCAACGCACCATCGTAACCCCCTTGTAGGTATGGTCCGGTGCTTCGCACGATAAGCTGATTCAGGGACAAAGCAAGCTGGTTGTCACAGCAGTGGGAGGTCAACTAGGCATAAGCTTATAAAGCGTCGCTGCACCTCCGATGTGATCGCCGGCCTACACAAAGCTCATAACCATCGAGTTTCAAATACAGCTTCGTTGAAGATTGGTATGGGAAACAACAATTTAGAGCCTGTGGTGTTCGTTGAAGGCAGACTTTGCATTAATGTCAGTTGCCTGCAAATGCTGCGAGCAATCTGCAGCCGTAGCCCCAACTTAATCTGGGGTCGAGCATATTTTTCCTCATATTTTTGGTCGGTTACGCCATGCTCGTCCAGCATAATGTACAGCAAGTTCCGACTTTCATCGGTTATTGGTGGTTAGAGGCCTAAACCTTGATCTGCAGGTAGAGGTAGAAATGACTGGTGCCACCGTGCATAAGCGGATTAGGTTGCTACACAATTACTCGAGAAATATTTGATTCGCTTCGCACGCCCATACTCGATATCTTCAGCTGCGGGCACGCCTAATACTGTATCAGCTCGCAACATTCGTCGTCTTTCGTCGTTCCTTAGCACGTCAAAAGGAGCCCTGCTTTGACCCAATTATTCATCAGTTTGACAGATACCGCACTTCCACAGCCATTGCGAGAGCCTCACACGATGCTTTGCAACACGATGCTTTGCAATCTATGATATTAAACAGATGATCCTCATGGTTAATTGTCCGCCACGATACCTACCGGACACACCCACCAAGATATCTACAATTTAGTGTATCAGGGTCCAACGTCAGGTTTCCAGGCATGTACATGCAGGGGGTCTTGATGCCAATTGTAGTATCTGTATACAGCACACCTGTTGTCGATACATGCAAAGGTGCTCCACCAGCATCTCTAGAGGCCTTTTCAGCAGCCAGCTACCGTATCACCGCGCTCGATTGGTAATTGCGAAATTAGTGATTCACCATTACACAATTTGTGGAATTCCGGCCTGGCTTTGCGGGCTACCAATTGCCGTGCAAACTGGATAGGGCGAGGGGGAGTTGGGGAGAGCGAGGGGCGAAACCAACTGGTACGATTTATCCTGCTCTTACTCTCCCATGAAGAACACGCTCATGTGCTGAGCTACAGGTACATCTAATGTGTGTGTTACATCTGCAGCTTGTAAAAGCGATAAGTGACCCTACCTTAACGATTCAAGAGGTTCCAAGGCGAAAAAGGCAACAAGAGAAGCCAGTGCAAAAGCGACAGAGGTACAACAAGCATGCAAACACACACGCCAGGTAAAGGAGAAGGAGGGAACCACCAAAACGAAACAGATATGGCAACACAATGAACATACCCTGCCTTCCATGTTCTGGTGGCAGGCATGGTGATGCGAGATATGATACCGTAAGCCCACACAACTACAATTCACATGGAGCCGACGGGCTGCGATGCTTAGTTGTGCGGGAAATTCAGAACAGAAATGGACTACATTCAGCGTGCTCGTAACAATCCTGAAGAAGTGGCCAACAATGGCCTCGTGGTGCAATTGACTGATCAGTTAGCCGGGCTGGTGGGAGGCCTGGCATCTACGAAACAACAAACAAGCTGCGTTGGGGAGCCAAGTAAAATACCTGATGAAGAACGGTCGAGGAGTCTACTAAGACATTTTCGGCCTAGTTCACCAAAACGGCTTCTTCTTTACCTCAACAGCGTGCGGTTGTTCACGATCGGAGCTGATGACGAAGCCTGATGAGCACCCTAAGGGAGGTGGATATCACCATCAAGCGGGTCAGGCCTCTGAAGAGCGACCTGAAAGATGTTGTGTCTACTGCACAAGCTATCGACCGTATTGGAGGTGTCCTGTACAAGTCATGGTGAGGGCCTTGAGTACGCACCGTCCTGCTAGTATGATGTCAGGTGAGGATACCGTTGGTGGAACCGGGAATGCCGGCAAACGTGACAGCGCATGGTGGAGTGTAGGGCCCTGCTGGGTTTAGGGGCAGGGGGAGTATTAAGTCGGGTTCCGTAATCTCCCACGCTTTGAGCATATGGAGGAACGCTGTGAAATGGGAACCTGAACGTCTGGCGAAGATGCTGGAATGTATGTGGTCCCACCGCAACTCCGCCATTCCCTTTAGTCGTTAGCCTCCTTTATCACTAGCTTTGTCTGAAATGCGAGGTAGGATGGTGCGTAGCAGCTCTTGAGCCCTCGGCCCGGCTCGGCTATTGGGCGGATTGCAGGTACGGGGCACACACCCCAAAGGCCATGTAAAACCCATATAGAAGTCGATGGGGGATCTTAATAAATACAGGTGAGGGAGAAGGATGCCGTATAATATGGATGTCGGACCTCCTCTGTTTAGTAGAGTGTCAGCCAGGCCCACGCTGGTTCTTCCAAAAAATGTGGGGGGTTTGGAACCCGTTGGGCAGCGCACCTCCACAGAAGTAGTGGACTCCTAGGCTCAGACCAATGACAGCGGGTGAGTACTGCTGTGACAAAAGAGCATACGGACCCTTGGCTCCCTGTGCATACGGCCTGAGGGAATACATGGACCGGCAGATGCAAACACTGGCCAGTCCTGCCGAGGCCTTGTTATCGGTGCACGACCTCCCATTACAATCCTAACCCTATCAGGCTGACATTTTATCAATTCCAATTTATAACCCTCCCGTATTGCCGTTTGCAACGTTAAGGACTGTTTACCCGCTGCTGAAACGAAGCGCCTATGGAGATAACTGTGTGCTGCAATCCACATGACTCGCAAAGATAGGTGTCCCTGACACTCCCACTTATCACGCCTGACCAGGAGGAATAGGAGGAATTCGCGGTGTTTCGCAGTGTTTTTCGAAAGCGCTTGGTATAAATCCTCACTTCATTTTTATGGTGAGCAGGGCGTTTCCGTGTTGCCGCTGTCCCTGATACCCCTGCACGTCGTCGGTACTCCGCTCAGCAGGCAGGGTTCACCAGGGTTCAATCGCCACCAATGCTTGCGAACGTCTGGGCACTGCAACTCTTGAGTTGCCTTCGCGCTCCGTTCACGCTTGTGACCCGATCGAAAATACCAAAACATGAAAACAAACGGTACTTCTTCTGGTTTTCAACTAATGTGGACAACGAACAGCAGCGTCCAATGCAGGAAGCGATGGAAGACTACGTGGACTTCAGCACAGGACTTCGCTCCGACACCACCGCTGCCCTGACACCAGCTTCCCAGCACCGATTTGCTCAGCTTTAGGTTCGCAATTTTACGAGTGAATGCCGACACCTCTATGATGGATGATAACAGGCAAGATGACCATGGCAAAAGATCATGCCCAAATGAGCACCTTCCGTACGCCATGGGTACGCAAAATCTTCTTGCTCCAAAATTCCCACGGCAAACTTTTGCCACCCAGTCACTCCGTAAACTATTGGGATTTCGTGCAGGGATGCTCTGAGGGCGGATGTCGCGATCAAGTCGTTGTCAACCTCCCACTTCCTAACGCATACGAATTACTTGAGTTGCGATTTCGTTCCAAACGGGCTGACTGGCTCGGTGCATCTGTGCAATTTCTGCAACTGGCCAAATTACAGCTTTCCCCTAGGCTCTAAATTGGCGGTGTCTGTAGGCGTCATAGGGGATGGACTTTCTACGCAGGTGAGCAGAGTTGGCTTTACAAGTTTGCGTAACTCAATTGATGCACGTAAAATATTGCTGAGGCGCTTGACTTGTGTGGGCTTCAGACGCAAGCGTTTAATCGTGGGCTTTGCGGCCGGAGCTGTGGGAGCCGCAGCTGCCTACTACTGGTAAGGGTATCGTTAAAATTAGCATGGAAGCCTGCGAACTCTTCGTCACTGCTGACTTGTATCTTCGAAAGCAAACTGGCAGAGCCAACTACTATCAAATTGTTAGGAGGTCTCCTTTGCATAGGAAGGGTAGCTGTTCGTAAACTATAAACAAAAGCAGTTATGGGAGCGGTCAGAAAGGCCATGCACAGAGGCCACGTTAATGTGGCAATGTGTAAGGACCCAGGAGGCACGCAGTGGGTTTATATGCGATATAAAGGGAACTGGTGTCATGAATAATTTACGGATGCGCCCGTCACGGCTCCTGTGCTTCCGTTCCCAAGCTCTAGCCCGCCGGTGCGGCAGCTCTGCCCGCTTCTTGCTGGGCCAACCTACGACGTAGTTCCCTGCGTTGTGCTTTCGCGCTGACAGGTGGACTGGCTACAATAAGACGAAACTCGAGCAACAGAGGAGGTGGGGATTGCTAGCTTGGAACGGCCGCCTGTGGACTGTCCTTTGGGTGAAGCGATGATGGTACCCTACGCATGCTCTCCTATGCGCTAAGGCGCCATTAAGGCGACAGCAAGGCTTATGGGTTACGCATGTAACCGTGAATATGGCACTTCACGTGCTGGCACTTGTTAAGTTTTGGCACACCCCCACGACGCCACGACCGCGTACTACTTCCGTACCACTCCCCTAGCCTTCAGTAGTGCTAGGTTGTCCAAAGCGTGTTCGTAAGGACGGGGCAAGAAATTACCTTCCGCTCACTCGTGAGTAAGCCACGACCCAAACTGCGCAATACCGCAGTGTCGAAAAGGAGCTGTCGGCCATTCTGCGTGGGGCTGCTCTGCACCATGGCGGTGACGGCAGTGGCGCCAGCGCCGACGCTGGCGGCGATACGGATGGCGATGACTGCGGCTCGCCCGATCTTGACGAGTCTCTGGACAGCCACTTCAATTACATCCAGAAAGTTTCTGCCCCGCAGGTATGGCATTGGTGGCTTGTCGCCGTGAGGAACCGCATCTGATGTATTTGCAGCTCTGTGTGGTCTTCAGCATCCGTTGTGAACAGGTCATTTCGGTGCTGGCGGCTGGGCCAGATTACCTTGACCCTTACCCCCCGACAGCATGAGACTGTCGGCACTGTCGGTCACTGCTGTCATTCTTATGCGTCCCCCCAGTGTGCCCTCGCGGGTCCTTTCTCCTGTCCTGCTTGCCTTGGTTGGCTGCCGGCGCCTTCTCCGACCTCTATCTCTTTTCCCTTCCAGTGCGTCAATGAGAGACTACTCCGTGTGCGTTTGATGGATTCGTGACTCTGTTCATAGATGCCCCTGCCTTGCTCAAATGCTTCGCGCGCTGCATGACCCGCAGGAATTGTCGAACCTGTTGCCCCGCATTCAAGCGACCTTAATGAAGGTAAGAAGGATGTGTGAAACGACGTGGTGTGGCGAACAGGTTTTACCAATGGGATGGCGCCAGGCGCGGTCTGTATTGGGTCAGTCGTTTGCGCATCCTGTGGCGGCCGTGGTGCTGGTCGTTGTCAACGCGTGATAAACGTGAATGTCCTGGAGCCAAAAACGTAGAAAATTGTGACCCGACGCGATGGCGATGGTTGCCTACCGAGCACGGTTTGGGCTAGCTGTTCGAGCTGTTGTTTCAATTGACGTCATGTGACCCAGATCGCCGAAACGGCTGAAAGCCAGTGCAGATTGTGAACTGACCATAAGACAGTATTGGGTCACTATTAAATATGGCTTATAAGCGTGGTAGCCTCTGGGGCCATGTGGAGTGTTTCTTTTCCATAACTGCCACCGTCTGGAGTACGGTACGTGTGGAATTGCGCTTTCGCCCTCAACGTTGGGGGGGCCTGTTGCTTCAGCGGGCAAACCTTTGCGGCTTGTGGAGTAAGGTAGCGCAACCCTTGATAATATCTTCCCGTGGCACCCCGAACCCCCCCTTCGCAGCTGACGGAAGTGGCCTTGGTCAAGCAGCTGCAGCAGCAGGTGATTGCGGGTGGCAGCCGCAGCGGCGGTGTGCAGCAGCAGCTGCGGCTGCTGGCGCGGCTCTGCTTTGGACGCACCGTAGCGGCGGCCTTTCTTCTGCCCCTCATGGACTTATGCGTACGGACTAAGCTCAATATTATTGGTAAGGCTTCTTGGGGCAAGAGATGGGCGGTAGTGAAGGCTGCGTGGGAAGGATGGCCACAGAAGAATCTGTGTAGCCAGTGGATGCCCGGTACGGATGGGAATCGGAGCGGCAGAGGCCCAGTGTGAGCCGGCGTGGAGGCCGAAAGCACCCTCCCTGGATTCCCTTCTGGCACCGATTATCGATCACCCTCCGGACAGACCACGCCTCACTTCGCTTTCCTTGGCACTTTGCAGGACGACACTTGTTTCTGCAGGAGAAGTTTTCCAAGCTGCGGCAGCCGGCCGCGCCCGCGGCTCGAATGCGGCTCCCGCCCCGGTTGACCACCGCAGCAGTAGAGGCGTTCCTGGCCTGTGAGCAGCTCGCGGAGCGGGGTTGTGCTTGGCTGGTGGACCAGGTGCGTGTGGTCGGGGGAACCCCAGTGCGGGAGGATCTAGGGATGAGGGCCGTGGGGTTCGTTGCACAATAGCTCAATCAGACAACCAGGTTGCAAGCTTGATACTCTACGGGAAAAAAAGGAGTTGGTGTCGCGTGTTGGCTCGTTGCTCTTCGCCCCTCCCCGTGTTTGTCTGTCTGCTGTCTGCAATGGGTCACCTGCGCCTTAGCCCATGCTGCCACCGCTCCCACCCCTTCCACCACCTCCACAGGCCATGCTATCGGTCGACCAGGTGCTGGAGGGTATTCCCATGGATGCGAATGTCACTCCCGAGGAGCTGGCGGAGATGGTGCAGGTGTGGAGGGTGGCGGGCGTTTGGGAAATGAGGCCTGGGAGGAACGTGGCTCTTGTGTGCAGGTCTAGGTGCACTGGCCGCACATCTTCCCCCGGCTACCTGTTCATTCCAATCATTCGGCGTTAACGAGTCTTCATTCCGTGTTGGCATGCATATTATGTGATGTCACCAATGTGCAGCGGTCCGGCAGTGAGTCGTACACCAATCCGCTAAACAAGCCCGCGGCCGGGTGACCCTTTGTATCCCCCGTAAGGCCATGGCGACGTGTCTGGGGCAGGCCGTCAACGCCGCCGGGGCCCTGTCTCCCACCGGCTGTGCCTGGGTGGACACGATTGTGGGGCCCACGGCGGCGGCGGCGGTAGGTGTGGACGCCGCCGCAGCCACAGGCAGCGCGGAAGCCTACCGGCGGGCCTTATCTAATGCTGCCATGGTGGAGGAGCTGGAGTCGGAGTTGCGGCGAGTGTTGTGCAACTACCGCTTCGGGTGAGGCGGGAAAAGAGGGGTTTGCTGTGCAGAGCTGGGCTGGTGGGAAATGAGGCCCTGAGGTAGGTGAGCCGCAGATGACGCGCCAGGGGCTTTAGGGTTCCGGGCGGGGACTGTACAAACTGGCGGCAAAGGTTGAAGGAAATGGAGGTGAACTGGTCGGCAGGAATTTTGTGGTAAACAGAGAGGCAAAGCGCCATCTCCTTTGGGTTCCAATCCTTAGGTTTCCAATTACGTTCCTGTTCGACCTTGCCTTAGTTGAACTGTTACCAAGCGGCCTTCCGCGATTCGGCTCTTGTCCGGGTCAGGTTTCCTGTCCTGGCAACTACTCTTGTGATTGCTCTTCACCTTGTGATGGGCGCTGCCCTGCCCTGGTGAATCCACTACCCGCAGTGAGGCGCTGCACGCTGCGGTCAGCCAGTGTTTGAGCACCTGTGCAGCGCACATCCACGCAACCTTTATCTCCCAGGCGGCTCAGGCTCAGCAGCAGCAACAACAACAACAACAACAAAGTCAACCGCCGGTGGCTGGTCCTCCCAGTCCAACACTGCCTCAGGGCCCTGACGCGCCTGAGGGTGGCCAGCCCAGCACGTCTGAGCGGCAGGGCGCCGTGTCGCCATTCGCCACAGCCTCGCAATGCTGCAGGGCCCCTTCCTCCGAGAGCGAAGGCGTGGACGACGGCCGGCGTAGTGAAGAGGTGGATCGGATAGATGAGGTGTCACCGGCACCGGGGCCGCCCCCCCCTACATCACCGTTGCGCAACGGCAGCAGGGCTGCGTCCTTGGCGGCGGCGGCTGTGGCGGCGATGCAACCGCGGCCGCTAGCGCGCTGCCTGAAGGCGGTTCAAGGCGCATGTGAGCCGCTTTTTGTGGATGCTCGAGAAGTGTCGGCGCGCATCGCCGTCCTGCCGCCCGTCATGTCGCTGTGCGCCGTGGCCTTTGCGGCACCTCTGGAATTGTAGAGTCCTGGCGTTTCCTCCTCGACTCGTGTGGTCGATGAGGTGACATCCCTTCTGAGGGGTGTCTTGCGGAATATGGCTGCCGTGAATTCTCCCACAAGCGTCATCGCATCCGGCGCATCGGTTTTGAGATGGACCCAGTACAGTGAGGTTATGCGTCTTGGTGTCAATCCTCCTCCTCTAAACGAGTAGGTTGCGCCCTTCTGCAGCATACCGTAGTGTCCATCTCCAGCTGGAGAAGACTGCTGCGGCGCTGTGAGCCGCGGTTGTTAGGGATGATCATTCTGTCCGGAGGGGTTACGGCCCAAGGTTTAGTGGCAGGAGGAGGAGGACAAGGTGGGGAGACTACACATGGAGATCCTTTGTAGTAATTACTACAACAAAGCAAATTCTAAAGATGGCATTAAATGAAGATGTTGGCACTGTTTCGAGCGGCGGATCGTTTCGCACGAATCGTACGGCCATTGAGCCGCGCTGGGGCTGTGCGCTGTATTTGCATTGATTGGGTTTGGGTGTGTTTGAAAATAAGGGCTGGTTGGCGAATGAGATGGGAGGAGGGCTGGGATCGACTTGGGCGGGGTGTACTGGTGTCTTCTGGGGCCCGACAACGTCAGCCCCCTCCCCCGACACGTCATTCGCCTATTCAGCTTATACTGCATCCAGGTGACCGAAAGATTCCGCAGGTTCCGCCTGTGGCGCCTTATTATCATGTCTTTTCGCTTATGTTCTTTTTTGTGGTGGTTTTCGAGGACATGGATGATTACGCTGTGCATCCTTCTTGGCTGCTTGTGTTTTTCGTCATCTTTTCGTAGTACGATTGTAGGGTACAGGCGGGGATGGCGTGGTGGGCGAGTTGCACATTTGCTGCTGCGTCCGGGGCGTCGCGGTGAGTTGCGGTCTTGGCACCCGCAACGGAGTCGGCGGCGGCTGCGTTTGGCTGCAGACCCGCTGCACACCGCTGTCGACAGCCGACGGCGCTGTGGCGTGAGCAAGGGGTTGTGAGCCTGTGAGCCGTAGTAAGCAGGGAGTGCAATGCCGCTGGCCGTTGGGTTGGAAGGTGGTTATTCGTTGCACAGAAGCACAAGCCGCAGTAAGTCAAATGCATGTGGCGAGGCCGCACTCCGCTGCCGCCACCTTTTTCATTTTGAGCGGCGACGCATTTCCCGAGCACCGTCATTTGGTGCGGTATGCTTCCTCTGTAGCTTAGCTGTCAGTTGAGGTGCGACCTGTGGAGTCTTGCCCGGTAACGTTTGCTTTTGGGGTTGACGGTCTGTAATAGGTTGAACACATTGCTGCACACCGGCACCGTTACTGCTGCTGTAGCTGCTATTTAGTAGTCGGTGCGGGGTTGTAGATGGTGTTGGGTGGGTACCAGCATTGCTGCTTTTGTCCATTGGCTGCAAGGTGTGGCTCGGGCAACAGTGGCAATAGCGGCAAACGCGCTTTACCCCCTTTGGTGTGGAGAACAGGAGTTAACAGCCTCCAACGCGCTTTCGTATGTGGTACGAGTAACAGAAAAGGATACGTTGATTTGCGTTCCCTGCGCGGGAAGCTAATCGGGCGGAGAAATCGCGGGCTCTTGGCAGCGGGGTAAGAGGTCGCAAAGGAGGCGTGGAGGGACAGCGTGGAAACGGCCGTGCTGGTGTTGGTGTCTTTTACTCTCTGATTAGTCGCAGCACTTCATGATAACATCCGTTCTACGAGCTGTATATAGTTAGTGGAAGGGATGCAAGCACACTTACTTGGCCCTCTTGTTACGCCTGTCAAGGGTAAGGTAGTGCACATGACGCGCTTTACCCTTGTGCAGTTTCTGTTGTTTGATTTAGCCCGGATCTGACCTTTCCGCAGCACTGTGACGGGTTCAGAGCCGCATGGTGCGGACGACCTGCAGTGTCGGACGGGATCTGTGCGCACGTTTGCAGCTTTCCAATATTGAAGCGTGTGTGAGTGTACATTGATAGCATCGAGTTAGCGTGCCGTGTATCGTTGCCGGGATCCTGCATGGGAGCTGCAGGTGTTCCCATTTTCGTCCCTTCGGATCATCGTACCGTAAGGGATTTGATTCGGGTGGGATTAATTGGGGAAGGCCAAGGGATTCATGCCACTGGTTACCCGCCCTGCGCTTGCAAAATGGGCGGCTTCCGGGGGAAAGTTTTGCCGAGAGACAAATGACAAATTCATGTGTACCCCCGGCTGTAACATAATGGGTCGGTTCATTCATGGTTCGCTGTATGCAGGTTTCCCCTCGAGAGAGAAGACCAGTTTAGTACGATGCCAACCAACAGCCAAGTCGGTTACTCGTCGTATAGTTTAAGCGATCTACCGCAGGGCACAAAATGACTCTGAAATTTAAAGCCTATATTCCAGGACCAACCAGAATCCCACCAGGAAATGCGAAATTAGATGCTAGACGGAATGTTAAGAGTGGAAACGCCATGCCTACATGGCAAATTGTTCAACAAAACCTTGGCTGTCAATTGCTGCCTCAGTGGTCGCGCTGGGGCCTTGGGACTGAACGTAACCATGATTTGGGTAGTGAACCCGTAATGGTGTCCACGGGATGGCCTCGGATCCTTAGGATGATGTGGGCCTGAAGCTTCACCTCCTTGCAAGTGTTTTTTTTCCAAATTTGGAACCGAGACTTTTGTAGCTTAGGGAACGCTTACACTTGTCTTTTGGTGTGTCACTTATCGATACTGATCCAAGCGGCTGGGGGGAATACGGCTGCCCCTTGAATAACCAGCGCAGTGCTGCCGTACTGAATCTGGGTGCAATTACCTCGCTGGCCCAAGTGTCCATCCGGTCCATGCAAAACCTCTTAGGTCCCACAATGTCGTTGTCTTGCTCTCACACCAAAACCGCTCCATGCAGTAAATGCAATTCTTACCTCAGTTCTCACATTCCTTGGTAAACCCGCACCCCCAAACTGCCAGGACCGTCTCCCTCTTCAGCTTCCATCAGCTCCCCGCCCTGAATACCCCGACAGCAATGGTAATAACGTTGCACAAGACGGCAACTTAGACCAGATACCGGGGCTTGGCCGCCCAAACCTCCACGGCTCCAATAGCTCAACTGCCTCACCGTTGACCGCTTCGCTAACGACGTGACCTGTGTTCCGAGGTTCTGGAGTCCCCACGTCTCCGCAAAGTTTTCTAGTTGATGGCCTCCCGCCCTTGTTAAAGTTTGGCTCAGCTACATTCCTGTACTTTGCAGCGTTACCACCGTCAAGATGCATCCTATGCCTTTCTACGACATCACGTTGGCCAAAACTTGTCAGCTTCTTCATAGCCAAAAAGGGCCCGGCCACGGCGCAGTCAGCCACCCCGCAGTATTCCGCAGGGGAGGCTGTACGGCGAGGGCTCGGTGCGGCGGCTGGCGGCGTTGGAGTGATGATGAGTCTGGTATATACACTTGCTAAGGCGCCAATGCGAATCCATTGCATTGCGCGCCGCCGCCATCTCAACAGGAACGGCTGAGCATCTAGCCTCCTGGTAGTGCGCGAACCCAGCCCATTGCCAGTCGAACTGGAGCGTAGGAGATGTATGAGATGTACGTGAGACGGAGAAGAAGGTAAGGAGGGAGTGCTGGAGCAGTTGGCATGGATGGGCTGGAGTTGCTGAGTGCGGCGGAGCTGAGCCAAGAGCGAGAAACCGCGCGGCCGCATAACAATCAAAGCATAATGAGCAGAAGCAGCGTGCGCCGCAGTGCACACGCACACCGCACCCCCTATGGCATAGGGTCGGTAACCGACCGGTTAGTTATAATCCAACCGGTTGCTTCGGTAAGGCATTTCGAGATAACCGGTATCCTTATCGGTCGGTGAACCCCTCGTGATCAATATGTCGCTAAAAGACCTGCTCCTTGTACACCTCCAACACCGCTGGCAAGTTAATACAGTTTGCGGATGTCCACGCCAGCTGCAATGGCGGCATGATGCACCGCGACAAGGCACGTGTGAAAGCACCGCTTCGTCACTTGCCTGCACGTTGCTAAGGATCTTGCGCAGTTGGCAGTTATGTCAGTAGCCATTCTTCAGCGTCTCCTGCCTACCTGGCAAAAGATTCTCTGCCGTCCTACCACGGCCGGCGGCTGGCAGAGGTTAAGGCCTGACTTCTACTCCCGGCCGACCCGGATTCAAATCCGCCTGCCGGCTCCTCGGATGTTTGAGGAGTGTTGAAATGGGAGGTGGCCCCCCATTTCGTGGACGGTGTAGGACGTGATAAAATCAACTTGCGAGCTAACCAGGAACTAAGTTGATGCGCCGTTGATCCGCTAGATTTGGTTGGATGCTGGTGGTGAGTTGCCGAACCCAAGAATACATTCTGAAGTCGGATGGGGTGACGGATTAGGGTGCCCCTCTAGCAGGGGAGAGCAGGGACTGCCCCGGGAAAGGGGGCCGCTGGCGAAGTTAACCACCCTGTAACAACATACATACCTATTTGCTTCATGTGCACACATCGCAACAACCGGCCTGCCGATTGAACCCAAGCTACGCGCACAACCGCGATGGCGGAAATGAATGCTGCTTTATGTTTTATGTGGACAGATCACGGGGAGAGGTGCATTACATGTCCGCAAAGGTAAAAGTGCGGGACTCGAGGAGAAACACAAGCACCCGTATTGTTCATGAATAACACTTCAGGCCGAGACATCCCGAGCTGGCTGCGATTAAGACAGCTTACTTCACCATACGCAGCAAACGAAGTTCTGCCACATTTGCACTGCCTAGAAAACACTTACATGACCATTTGATCATCCCGTAGCTCATCCAGCACCTCGGCTTGGCTCGGCTAGGGGATACAACGTCGAAGGAAAAATATTCTTCTATGTACCCAGGTGCATAGATTGCTCCCATGCAACTGGAAACGTTCCAGCTGACAAGCGTATGCAGGAGCAGCTTAAATACCCCACCATGTAGGCGTTGAACTGGGCCATACATAATTAAGCGGTGTACATCATCACGCATTCGCATTCGTACCAGGGCAACTACGCAGATCGACATGCGGATTTCCACCCCAATAATTACTGCCAAAACATTGCATCGTTATATGCCTCTTGCGGGGTGGTACGGTTGTATCCACTCCCACACATGCTTAGCACGTGAAAGCAACTATGTGTTTACAGCGGGTAGGGGTACAAGAGAAACACCGCCACCAGAAGAAGAACGAGCGCCAAAGCCTACATTCACATCACTTCATGGCATATCTTCTAGCCACACGCTTCAGCTGCACGACTGTACACTACCCAAGTGGACTGGCCGCAAAGCACGCCAACACAGTCCAGCGGGCTCTCCTCCTTGACAGAAGACCACCTTCCCATCCCAAAGTGACCCTTTCCTCCTCCACCAGGACACCCACCCGCGGAGCGGGATTACGCCCGGGCTGATAGATGACACGGGCTCCTACGTGCCAAATCCGCCCAATGGATATCAGCAAAAGCCTATCCCTACCCGTCGACTTGCACAAGCAACCCCCAACCTAAACTCCAGAGACACAGGCTCCTTACCACCTTGATCCCTCACCTTCCCCAGAGCGCAGCAGCCGTATATACCCCTCTATGCCTTTGCCATCTTAGATTCCGGTGGCAGAGGACAACTTCGAAACTGTGGACACGCCATGTTGAGTGCGCCTACCCCTTAACGCCCTGGAGCGCCTCTGAAATAACGCATATCGCAAGCAGACGGAAGACCTTAATGCGAGGCGTCCTCCCACAAGCATGCTCCAAAGGCCCCGTACTTTATAGCAAAGCGCTCATGTCGGTGTGCCCGTTAAATGTCGCCAGGGCCATCGCCACGCATGAATTGAGTAAACAATATAACGTGTACATGCACCGCGGGCGGCATAGGACACCCAGAGCTGTGGACCTTAAGCCATTCTCAGGCCAATGAGAAACATGCCACGAATATGATCTTCACAACGCCTGTTACTGCACAGCAGCCCCTTCGCCATGACGCCAAGCGCAAGCCCAAGGCTCAAAGCTTTAGCTCATGCCTTCGTGTGCCACTGCTATCGCCGTCGCTGCTGTTGCTCGTGCCACAGCTGCTGCTGCGGCTGACAACGCAAAACTCCATGGCTTCAGTCGGCAAAATAAGTCGCCAAGATGCTGCTGTTGCCGCTGCTAACCACATAAAATGCTCCAACCGCCTCATAGCGCTACTTAGCTACCATATATTTTTGCCGTACCTGCATGTACAATATGCGCTCTTTGCGCGACTTGAGCTCCTTACCAGCCCTGACTTCTCGGGTGACCGCTCCATAGTTTGGAACGTGGATCCGGAATAACCTTCTCGGCGGCCGGAACCTTCCCTCATATACGCGCGCACAGCTTTAAATCCGGGCATCGGTTTGTAGTGGGTATCCCTGCTGTGGTGGGTATCCCTGCTGTGGTGGGTATCCCTGCTGCGGCGGATATGCGGGCTGGACGGGGTACCCAGCTGCAGGGCCAAGCGTCAGGAGGGACACAGAATTAGAGCAGATACCAAATCACAACGGACAAACGAGTCAAGCTGGTCTGGTAAACAGACAATCCGCTGCCGCTCTTTTCTTCCCGGCATGCATCACATATTTGCCCTTTCGACGAGCATGTCGCAACGCAAAAGATAATGCTACCCAGTTGCGTTTCCATAACCTTCAACTCACCGCTGTACGGCCCCGTGTATTGCTGCTGCGGCATCGCAGGGTAGGGCTGCTGCGGCATCATAGGGTAGGGCTGCTGCGGAGGGGGTTGGTGCGGCTGGGGGGTTTGGTCCGGGGCGCCGTACATGATGTTGCCATCGGGGTTCTGCACCGCGAGACCCGGAACCTGACACGAGCGAGCCGTCCGGATGGCAAAGCAATCAGTATGGATGAGGGGATGAGGGGGAAAGACGAACCACGAACGAGGAAAGCTGCTGCCAAGGGAAGAGTGTACAAGAAGAAGAACTGACCAGGAGGGGAAGAAATTCCAAGCTAGTACGCGAGCAACTTTAGACTGGTGACGCGCGCACGCACATACCAAACAAACAATTCAATGGACTCCCTCCCATCTGCACCGCGCGTGTGCACATGCATCCATCTCCGGGCCCAAGCTCTATCCGGCAGACACACGCACATCCGTGCACCTCACCCCACACGCGCACACACCTGTGCAAACAGGCTGTGCACTTCCTCGTGAGTTACTCGGCGCTGGTCCTTGTCAAAGGCGTAGCAGATGTAGAGCGTATTGATTGCATCCAGCAGTAATCCCGCCACGAAGGACAGCAAGTAAGCCATGCTGCGGGAGGAAAAAAGTAGGGTGGAGGGGCGAGGGAAAGGAGAAATCAACTGAAGCCCGCGAACCCGGCCAGAGCCTTACATTCCGTTCCCGGGGAGCAGCTATGTAGGGTAAACCAAGACCCCTCCACGCGTGACCCCAAAGTCCCCAGCAGGTGCTGCCTAGCCGCCAGCCCAGCGTGGCGTGTTTCATGCTTCGGCCTTAGTGGATTTTTGCCAAGCCTCAGCTGCCAACCTCGTGGCTATGGCCCCGGCTCCCGACTATCTAAATCAGCGGCGTTTCCTTTGCCAGGTCCTCGGCTATCCTAGCTGTTCGAGCAACTTACAGGACGAAGGCCAGAATTCCGACGATAACCGGCACACCCCACTCGGTAGCACCGCCCTTGTTCTTCGTCATGCCGTAGGTAGCGCCCACGACGATGCCGCCCCAGGACAGCGACATGAGGAACACGGTGAAGCCCAGTACGCGGTCCGGAACCCACCTGCACGAACCGAACAACATTTGAGGGAGACCCGAGAGTGTTGCTGTAAAAAAGGACATAGTAATACAAACGGCACTGCGACAGGTAGGTGTGTTGAAAGGTCAGTTCCAAGTCCAAAATTTGTATATATATGTCCCAATACGCACTGTAGAAGGCTATGGTGATGAACCAAACCGGAGCGTCAGGAGTCCCCGGCACTCTCGGGACAGCGCTTCCATACCTGCTTCCCTACGGCACACACGCGGCCTCAATTTGGTTATTGTGAAGTGTCCACCACCGGGGAGCCAAGCTCGGCTTCGTCAAGCGCCCGCATGAACGCGTCCTCTCCCTAACCTACACCCTGCCGTGTCCCGTCCCCATACCACCCCACTCTCCCAGCCTACTCACCACATGGTGTATGTCTGCAGGAAGTTACGAGACAGCGTCTCAAAAACGGCCCGGGCCGAGGGAACAAAGGCCTGACCTGTGATGGCCGTGGCGATGGTGGCAAAGCGTGTAAACTTCTCCTGCGGGGAGCCAAGAGGCGGTGCGGGTGGGTGGGGGGGCTTAATGACGTGCCGGGTTCGCGGGCAACGGTAGGAGAATGGCGAGGGCAGCGGAGGTAATGACGGCGACGAGGACCAAGGGGTTGGTGGCACAAGAGCAAAAGGCATTCCTACGTCTAAATGAGGTTCGTGAGTGCATGAAGGTGGTGCGGGGGCGCATTCCCGACAATCGTCGTCCCTCGCAATCGCACCCCAGGCCACACCGTCCCTACATAACGACCAGCGCGCATGCCGCACGTCATTTTTTCCCTCGCCCTCCCCGAGATGCATTATTCTAAACCACAGACTGATGCTAATGCTATGCCGAACAAATATTAGGTGCTGAACGAGGGTATCCAGGGCGACAACCAAATTGCCAGGGAGGAGGAGCGCCAGGAAGGTGCAAAGGTGCAGGAAATGGAAGCAAGATCGAATCATTATCCGAGCGCACTACAGCCAGGATGGGAGGCCGAATCCCAGGTCGATATCAGGCCTGACACGGGCAAACCTTACGTCAGGGGTAATTTTTCACAATTGCTCACTGCTCGCTGGTAGACTGCCAGCCCGGTACCCGCTGCTTACCAGCGCCGCAAGAATGCCCTGCACGAAGCAGTTGATGACCGCCAAGATAATGTTCCTGTGCGCCATCTGCCGCGCCAAGCTACGCAGAAAGTTGATAATGGCCATGATGGCAGACGCGAACGCCACCGAGCCAAACGAGGTGGTCAGGCAGTGCCTCAGGGCCATACGCACATTGCCGCGAGCCAGGTTGCTGCTGCCGCCAAAACCCACAGCCGCGCTGCTGCCTGCGAGGTATGAAGCGGGTGAAGGCTTGAGGTTTAAGGTTTCAGGGTTCGGAGTCGTTTGAAG